CCCCAGAGGGCGGCCCAGGCAGCCTCAGTGGCCCCATCCCAGGGCTGAGGGCCGGGCTTGGCCTCCCCTCCTGACCCCCTCACCCCACACCCCTGTCAGTCATGGGCCACGTCCCTCATGTCCTCTTTCACCTTTGCTGTGTGCCGACTCTGTCCTCACAGCCCCAGGGCTGACGGAGGCCTCCTCCTCTCCCTTCCAGACCCTTACCCCAGCCTCCTCCCCGGCCTCCTGACTCCAGCTCACCGCCCCCCGAAGCCGGCCCCGTTCTTCCCTGGCTCCCAGCCCTTCTGTGTCTCCCCAGTGCCCTGGAACAGGTCTTTCCGGGCTCACTTTGTAGTGCAAGCTGGACTTGAACACACTACACTATGTAGTAGCACAGGCTGGCCTCAAATTTCCAGAGATCCTCCCGCCTTAGCCTCCTGACCCCTGGATTACAGGCCTGTGCTACCATGCCTGGCTGTCCTGGTTTTCAAGGACAGGGTGGCCAGTTCTCAGTCCTTTCTGAGGTCCCAGGATTTGCCGTTCCTGTATGTTCCTCCCTCTGGGCCCAGCCTGGGCTGCCGAGAACATTGTTCACCACTGAGTATTGACTTCCTCCAGACAGGAGTGGCTCAAATCCCGACAGAATGAGCACCTACTGCATCCCAAGCTCTGGTCCTAGTCCCTCATGCACATTTGCACCAATTCTGCCATCAGCTTTGCAAAGAGAAGCATCATGCTGGACATGGAGATGAATGCCTGTAATTCCAGCACCCTGGGAGGCTGAGGCAGGAGGATCACAAGTTCAAGCCCAGCCTGGGCAACTTAGCAACACTGTCTCAAAATTTAAAAAAAGAGGGATGTAGCTCAGTGTAAAGGCCCGGACTTAATCCTCAGTACTGAAAAAGAAAGTGTCAAGCCCAGAGACAGCGAGGCACTTGTTCAAGGTCACACAGCATGGAGAAAGTCTCGGGTCACTGCAGCCCCTCCCCGCTACCCTCTCCTGGCTGCCTCCTGTGACACATGGCACCGCCTTTCCAGGTCACCCCTGGTTTCATAACCACCACCCCTTTCTGTCCCAGAAACACGACCGTGTGGGCAGCCCGAGCTCCACTTGGCTCGGTGGCCCAGTTTCTGGGGTGGAGAATAAGGCTCGAAGGGAAAGAAGGGAGGGGCGATGCTGAGACCTTTTCCATGTCTTTCCACAGAAAGAGATTCACCAGGTCGGAAAAGGTAACCGTGGGGCAGGGGGACTGCACCCGTCCGGTCAGCGCCTGCTCCAGGAAGCCTCCCTGACTGCCCCAGCCCCGCGGTCTCCCCGCCCGGGGTCCAGCTGGGGTCCGTTGGTTCCTCCACCGTCGCCCTCCACCCTTCCCGGTGCGTCTCCTAGGGCTGCGGCCCGGCAGAACGCCCTCTGTCCCACAGCGCCCCCTGCCGGCTGGACCTCCGTTTGCGTCTGGCGCTGCCTCCCCGACCCTGGGCTCCGAGTCGTGGGCCGCAGGGGCCCCGACCCTCCCTCCTCTCCCTCCCACTGACTCTCTCCGGATTCGACTGATTTCCCTGCACCGGGCTCCATTCCGAGTCCACAGTGGCTGGCGAGGGAGCGTGGGGTGGGGGGGCGTGGCCCGGGGGACCCACCTGCTGCAGCTCTTCGTAGGTGAGGAACAGGAAGTTCTCTTTGCCCTGCATCCGGATCCAGCCCTTAATGTGGTCGAACCAGGAGCCGAACTGCACTGTGGGCAGGGGGCAGGGTGAGGGCTGGGCACAGGGCCATCTGGCTCAGGGGGGCGCTGTGAACCCCAACAACACGTGCCAGAGTCCCGCGTCCCTCTTACCTATGCCTCTGGGGCCCAGCCACCAGGACAGTCTCCCCAGAAGCCTGATCCCCCCACCCTCAACTCAGATCCTGCGTCAGCCTCACAGAAAGCTGGGCTCCAGGTGTGCGGTACCATGCCCGGCTCCCAGCCCTGCCCCTCTGCTCTTACCCCTCTCCACAGCTGGGGGTCCCCCTTCCTCCTGGGGAGCTCACCTTCGCCTTTGAGGAAGTCCTGCAGGAACTGGTCGGGCGTGCCGGGGTCCTTCAGCTGCCGGGCAATCTTGGCGTAATGGTAGAAGGACACCAGGACATCTCGGGGGTTCCGGCCCAGGTAGATCACCTGCACACGGACAGCGGGGAGGGTGAGGGCATCAGACACGGGCAGGCCTGCCCCACAGGCAGGCAGGGCTCAAGGCAGACTCCTGGGGGACCTGTGGCTAAAAGTTTCTCACTCTGGAGGGGGAGTTTTGGGGTCAGGAGAATCACAGGGAGGACAGTATGGGATGCAGGATGGGGGAGATCAAGGCGCAAGATGTGAACTAAGATGTGGGATGCTGCCCACACCGTGACACCCCTCCCTCCCCACCCCACACCTTGGCCTTGGTGTCGAAAGCGGCCTTGGGGAAGATGTGCACGGGGAGGTGGGAGCTCAGGAGGCGCGGCCTGGGCTGGTCCGGGAGGGTGAAGGCACCCATGACTGTCTCGCACCAGGGCGAGCGCTCCCAGATGGGCACCGAGCGGATCCAGGAGGGATCCCCGTCCTTCAGGATTAGGCTGAGGATCTCGATCATCCAGGAGGTGCCTGTTGGGAGAAATTGGGCACATGAATCTCAGTGGGAAGGGATGACTGTGTGAGGATAGTTAGATTAACAGCAGCCTCTGCAGGCACTTTGCCTCTCTCTTTCTTTCTTTCTTTGTTTCTGTGTGTATGAGAGTGGCAGGATCTTGCTATGTGGTCCAGGCTAGCCTCAAAGTCACAGCGATCCTCCTGCCTCAGCCTCCCAAGTGCTGACCATTTGCCATTTGTTTTATTGCATTTATTTTATCCTCACAGTCCTTGCCAAAGGCAGGGTTGATGAGGCTCATTTTCAGAGCTGACGACAAAGACACAAAGAACAATGTCTGCCAGGACCCTGGGAGGCTGAGACAGGAGGACTCCAAGTTGGAGCCCAGCCTGGGCAACTTAATGAGAACCTGTCTCAAAATGAATAAATAAAATAAAAGGGGTCGGGGATGTGGCTCAGTGCAAAGGCCCTGGTTTCAACCCCCAGTGTTAAGAAAGTAAAACGAAAACCAAAACTCAGAACTGTGTCACTTGTCCAAGGTGGCAGAAGTGGGAAGCAGCCTGTGGTAGCCATAAACCAGCCACTCTCCCACCCCCAGTCCATCTTCCTTTGGGGCATGGTGAGGCCACATCTCTTGTCCCCCTTGTGGGGCCACATGATGGGGCCCGGTCAAGGAAGTGTTTTGGAAGCTTTATTGTTTTTTGCAGCACTAGGAATTGAACCCAGGGCCTTTGCACTAAGTTACAGCTCCCTGTTTTATTTATTTTGAGACAGGGTCTAAGTCTTCAGGTTGCCTAGGCTGGGCTCCAACTTTGAGTCCTCCTGCCTCGGCCTCCCGAGTACTGGGATTACAGGTGTGTGTCACCACGCCCCGCTTGTTCTACTGGATTCCAACAACCGCTTGTGCCGGGCACAAAGTATGGCCTCCGGGCTCCTGGCTCCTCTGGTCTTGGACGCCGGAGCTGGACCCCCCCATTAACCTTGCCCTTTGCGAGCTGGCTCGGTGCGAAGCTCGACCGGCAGAGGGCGCTGCAGGGACGCGCAAAGGAGACGAGGTTGCTCTCCCCGTCCTCGCGGATCTGTGACAACCAGCAGTGAGCCCCGCAGTGGACCCCAGGCAACGTTTACCACTGCCCCCGTCAAAACAAAACAGAACAAAACAAAACGCGTCGGGCCGGGGATTTAGCTCACTGGTTCCGGCGCCTGCCTCGCAAGAGAAAGAACCTGAGTTCGATTCCCGGTACCTAAATAAATAAATAAATTTACCACCCAGCCCCTGAGAAGTTGCAGCGCCATGCCCTCCCCAGGAGAGTGGGGTGGGAGTAGGGGACAGGAGGTCTCGCGTCCAAATGTGTTGCTGTCTGGGGAGACAGGTGTGGGGTTAGTTCTAGCCCCGGAGAAAGTGGCTGCTCTTTATATCAGCTGTTCCTGCATTTTGTCGTCATTGTTTTTCTGACAGTGTCTTCCTATGTAGGTCAGGCTGGCCTTGAGCTCATAGCGATCCTCCTGCCTCAGCCTCCCAAGTGCACTATATAATTATAAGCATGTACCACCACACCTAGCCGTGAGCTTTTTAACTCCATACTGTTCCCCATAGTGGCTGAGTCACTTTGCGTTCCTATCACAGAGCACAAAGGTTCCAATTTCTTCACATCCTGGCCCACACTTGACATTTCCTAAATAATAGCCACCTCTTGGGTGTGACTCATTCTTTACGTGAAGCTTTTCCTGTCCAAATCATTGTGCGGTTTCAGTCTCCTATCTGAGCCTGACCAATCCACCCTCCTGAGGCAGCTTAGGAGAGATCCAGGCATCTTGTAGCCCATCCTCCCCGCCTCATGTTGCTACGCAAACACTAGCTGAGCATGTTGGCACCAACTAGAAACTACATCTCCCAGAATCCTCCGCAGCGGGAGGTCACGTGACGGTGCGCTCTGGTCTTTGAGAGGCGAGAAGTGAGTGCACCTTCTGGGTCAAACTTTAAAAGGGAAGCTACTGCCCCCTCTTGTTTCCATTTCCCTTTTCTCCTGGCAGCATTGTGGAGCTGGTGCCCATAAAGAGGCCGACACCATTTTAGAAGCCAACAAGCTAGAAGTCAGCCCTTCTTGACTGCTTGGAATGGGGCCACCTCTCTGCGCAAATGCCCTCCCAATATGGGGAGAGAAAGCGTGTATTTCCTGTGGGTGCTTGGGTAGAGCATTATTTTGAGACGGGGCCGCTAAATTGCTCAATTGCCTAGGCTGGGCTCAAACTTGTGATCCTCCGGCCTCAGCTTCCCAGAGTGCTGGGATCACAAGTGTGCACCACCATGCCTGGCTGTTAGGGCATTTTAACCTACAGCCACACTAACACCCGGTGTTGTCACTGGAGAAGAAACTATGGAAACGGCGAACGGCATTGGGGGGGTTGAAGACGTTCTAGAGGTTTCCACGTTTCCTAAGGGTTTGAACCCAGGGAGGAACACCCAAGAGAAAGGTGTTTCTTCATGGAATCCTGCTTACAGAGGGTCCAGTCGTGTTCCCGCGATCAGAATCCACCCTGTAATTATAACCACAAGCACCTGCAGTCCCAGCTAGCTTCCCAGGAGGCTGAGGCAGGAGAATCACTGGAGCCCACACTCGAGGTGAAACGAGATTGTCTCAAAAGCCAAAACAACAGTCATAATGATGAAGAAGTCAATCATATATATATACATGCGTGTGTGTATTATATATGTATGTATGTATGTTTTGTTTTTTGACATAGGATCTCAGGTAACCCAGGCTGGCCACAAACTCTGCCTCAGCCCTTTCAGTGCTGGGATTACAGGTGTGCACCACCACAGGTAGCAAAGAGAAATGCATTATTATTATATATATATATTTTTTATGAGACAGGGACTCAGGAAATGTAGCCCATTCTGCCCTTGAACACACAGCAATCCTCCTGTCTCTCAGCCTCCTGAGTGCTGCACTTACAGGAACGCACTGCCATACGTGGCTAAACATAAGTACATCGGATTACATAAAATGTGCATATTGAAACATTATGAACAAAGCATAAAAGGCAAACGACCATCTGGGCAAACGCACATACAATTTACCACGCACACGAAGAGTTAAGTTCACTAATATATAAAAGCTGCTTTGAATCAATGAAAGGCCAATAATTCAATGGAAGAGAAAAAAGGCCCGAGGATAACAGACCCTCAGAGAGGAAATATAAGTAGATTTTGGTGGTGGCAGCGGTTTTACTTTTGGGTACCAGGTATCCAACCTAGGTGCTCTCACAGGCTAGGCACATCTCCTACCACTGAAGAAATCCCCAGCCCAGTAAGTGGTTTTTGAAATATTTAAAATAATGCTCAACTTCATCAATAGCAATAGAAATGTAAGTTAGAGCGAGCCGGAAGTCCCTCTCTGTTTTCACCGGTCAGACTGGCGCAGAGTGAAAGCTCCTAAGGGAGCAACAGAGGCGGAGTGAGAGGCAGCCCGGCCCTGTGGGGCGGAGAACGAGTTCTGTGGGTGGGAATTTGTGCACATCCGTCAGGACCGCGGATGCCACCCCACAGCTACCCAGCAGTGTCGTAGCTGCCTTTTTTAGAGTGGTGCTAGGGATCGAACCCAGGGTCTTTCGCACTGAGCAACATCCCCAGGCCATCGTGTGTGTGTGTGTGTGTGTGTGTGTGTGTGTGTGTGCCAGGGATCCAACTCAGGACCCTGTACTTGCCAGGCAGGCGCAGCACAACTGAGCTACATCTCCAGCCCTCCCAGGCCTTCTTTTATTTTTTATTTTGAGAAAGGGTCTTGCTAAGTCTCTAAATTGCCCAGACTGGGCTTGAATTTACAATCCTCTTGCCTCAGCCTCCCAGAGTGCCAGGATTACAAATGTGCACCACCACACTGGCTCACGTCTAAGAGTTCATCCTACAGAATACACAAGTGCAAAATTCCATTCATATGGAGGCAGAATATCACTATATGGCCAAGGCTGGCCTTGTGCTCATGGGGAATTCTCCTGCCTCAGCTTCCTATGTGCTGGGGTTATAGGCATGCACCGCTACGCACAGCATATAATGGGTCATAGATTTAAATGTAAAATCCAAACCTGTAAAACTCAAAAAAACAAAGGACATCTCTGTGATCATGGGTTAAACAAAGATTTCTTGGATACAACACCAAAACCGTGATCCTTCAAAGAACAAATTGACAAGTTGGATCTCTCCAGATTAAAAACGTACCTGCTTATGCCCTGGTGAGAAATGAAAAGACCATTCGCTGAGTCTTTGCAAAATGCATTATCTGATCAAGGCTTTGTATCTCTACTACAGAAAATTTCTCAGAGCTCAGTGATGAGAAAACAAAGTACTCCACTGAGGAGGAAGACAATTTGACCCGACACTTTAGCAAAGAAGACACAGGAGGGCGAAAGAATGTGGAGAAAACACTGCATCCCTGGTCAGTAGGGAAATACAAATTAAAGCTTCAATGAGACATCAGTCAGCACTTAGCAGAGCAGATTTAAAGCGCCCAGGATGGTGGTGCTGGCCTGTGATGCCGGGACGTGAGAGGCTAAGGCAGGAGGGTTACAAGTTCGAGGCCAGCCTGCACTACATAGTGAAACTCTGCTTCATAAGTGAATGAATGAATAAATACAATAAAACTTAGTTTGGAGTCCAGAACAGGGCTCTTCAGCACGCTGTGTAATAAATGTTCACCAGAGATTTGTGCAAGGGAGGAAGGGTCTTCACTTTCTGCACTGGGTCACTGAAATGCTACTGCCAAGAGTAACGTGGGTCAGTTTACTGGGAACGACAGGCTTTTTTAAAACTTTTGAGCCGGGGGGCTCACCAAGTTAGTGCCCAGGAGCGGGCCTGAACTTGTCACCCCCCTGCCTCAGCCTCCCAAGTCCAGCAAGACAGGCTTCACTGAAGACACAATTAGCAACGTCACCCCGTAATTAGGGCTGGGGGTCAGCCAAGCCAAGGAGAGGTGCTGAGAGCGCTGAATGGAGGAGACAAGACGGGGCCTGGGCCAGCAGCGGGTGGCGCGGATGCCTGGAGGTGACCGAGTGCAGGCAGTGATGAGGGAGGCTTCCTTAGAAGAGGGAAGTGCTGGGGGTGGCGGTTTGGGGGGCAAGGGAAGTTCAGGGGCTGGGGTACAGGAGGCTTTACTAATAAGGTGCGAAGGGAACCTTCTGTAGGGTTTCAGTGATGAGAGAACTGGACTTCAGCCCTTTCTTCTTGTATTTATTTATTCATTGAGACAGGGTCTCACTTTATAGGTCAGGCTGGCCCTGAACTCATTATTCACTGTGTCGCTCAGGCTGGCTTTGAACTCTCAGCAATCTCCCGCCTCTGCTGGGATTACAGGCGTGAGCCACCACGCCCAGGTAGCCGTTACCTCTTTTAAATGTTAAGGTTAACCTGGTTAGTCCTATTATTTCTAATTTTTTTTCAAATATTTCATAAATCCTTTTTTTTTTTTTAAATTTATTACTTGTTGTTTGGCTGGTTAGTTGGTTGGTTTTTCTTTTCTTTTCTTTCTTTTTTTTTTTTTTTAGACAAGGTCTCACTCTGTAGCCCAGTCTGGCCTCGAACTTGCAGTGATCCTCCTGCCTCAGCCTCCTGTGCCACTGGGACCCACAGCTTTTAAAGCAGTGGGGACACCACAGAGTGTACCTGGTAGCAATAAATGAATAACATGACGGTTAAAGGAACAGGGAGGGCAGGAGGCTGTCGCCAGAGGCTCGGGGACCTGAGCTCCAGCAGCACCCTGGGTCCAGTCCCCGTTCCTGGGCAGCCTGCATCACCCCCATGCCCTCCCTGCTCTCCCCGGCCTCGGTACCTGACTTGGGGTAGGTGACGATGAAGACGTCGTCGTCCCGCACATCCTGGGTGTTCTCAACCAGGCTGATGCTCTCTGGTGAGTAGAGGCCGATGGGGAAGAGGACGCCCTTGTACTTGAAGTATTCGCCCGAAAAATTTGTGCTGTAGGAGAGACACCACTGTGAGCAAGGCGGGCAGGGCGGGGCGGCGGGGAGCACGCCTCACCTGCTTTCATCAAAAGTGGGAGTGACCTCCACACTGACCTCCAGCCACAGAAGCCGGGTGTGTGGTGCACACCTGCAACCCCAGCTCTCGGGAGGCCAAGGCTCCAGGCTCACAGGCTGGCCTTGCACTCACTATGCAGCCCATGCTGACCTTGCGTTGTTGGCAATCGTCCTGCCTCAGCCTCCTGGGTGCTGGGATCTCAGGCACGCACCTCCATGCCTCGTTTAAAAGGGCTTGGTACAGCCTAAGGCCTAGCTGTTGCTACTTGCTGATGAGAAGCATCACGTGGGTCTTCAGGGTCACCACAGCTCCTCAAGGAAGCCACCTCCCTCTACCTGCAGTGAGGAGAGAGGACCCCCATGGTATGAGGGAGTCTGGGGCACCCCACAGGGCCGGGACACTTGGTACTGCTCAGCCAGCCCCGAATGAGTAAACGCGTGCAGAGTGCTGAGGGCTGAACGACGCGTGGAGGCTTTGGCAGGAGGCAGGTGGAGAAAGCTGAGGGCGCACAGCCCTTGGAGCTGCGCTGGTTCTCTCCAGGCCCGTGGGGAGGTGGGGTTCCCAAGCCACCCCGTAGCAGCCCCAGTGCTACAAGACTTGACCTGTGCAACCTACAGCAGGAGGAATCCCGTGCCCTGTGAACGGTGGCTTGGGGCTCCCCATGTGTTTCACACGGAAACGGGTCTGAGGGGAAGCAGTTCGGCCAAGGCCACACACAGCAAGAATGAAGCAGAACTGCAGAAATAGTATTAGTGTGATGCCCATGACTGGGGGGCTGAGGCAGGAGGATCTCTAGTTAGAGCCCAGTATGGGCCACTTAGTGAGACCTTGTCTCAACAGATGACAACACACCGGGCATGGTGGCCCAAGCCTGCCCTCAGGAGGCTGAGGCAGGAGGATCGCTGCGAGTTTGAGGCCAGCCTGGGCTACACAGTGAGTTCAAGGCCAGCCTGAATTACAAAGTGAAACCCTGTCTCAATCTCCCCCAGAATAACAAACAAGGAGAGCTCGGGGCTGCACCCAGTGGCCGGTTGTTCCCTCCAGCCCCACCAGCCAGGCAGAGCCCCCAAGTGCATCCATCATGCCTTGGACCCAGCCCCAGGACCTCGGTGGCACAGACAGAAGCCACAGAGACAGAGTCGCGCCTGGCTGAACTCTCACTGTGCCCAACTCAGGGTCTGGGCCTCCCGTCTCCACCGTTGAGTCAGATCTGCCCTGGGCAGCTCTTCTCTGGGTCACAGGCCCAGGGTGTCCCCACAGAGCGTGCTGGGGCCAGTGTGTGGTGGTCATTGTCCATTTGAGCAGAGGAAAGAAGGTGACGGGGGTGGGGCAGGGCAGGGACACGACGGCCCAGCTCTGCTGACCAGGTGGGCTGATGGCCTCGCATCCACTTGGCCACCCAGGAGGCCACAACTGGCCCTGCCAGGGACTCCGGGCCAAGGGACCCTACCCTACCGTTCCCTTTACCCTTCCTTCCTTTTCTTCAGAGGCAGGGTCTCACTATGTAATCCAGGCTGGCCTCAATCCTCCTGCCTCAGCCTCCCGAGACTACAGGCTGCGTGTCTCTTACTTGGTGCTTCAGACCGGAAGTGTTTGGGGTCCAGGTTTTTTCAAGATGTTTTGAACCTGTGAAAATGGGTGGTGAGATGCCCCAGGCAGTGGCCCAGGTCTGAACACAGAGACCACACAGGTTTCGCCGGTGCCTCCTGCACACAGCCTGGAGGGATTGGGTGCAGTGTTCTAGTGCTCCTGCCTTTGGATCTCGACCCCCCAGGGGAGGCTGGGTGGCATTTTCTACCTCAGGCTGTCTGGGCCAGGGCTTCCCAGATGGTCACCGTCGTGCGGACAGTTCGCGGCCGTCCCTGGCGGGGCGTGTGGTCCAGGGCTGTGTTCCGATTGCTTCTCCCGGCCGCCCCGCCGTCCGAATCACTCCCAGGGGAGGAGGCCTGAATGACCCTGCAGCTCGACGCTCCCCACAGCCTCCTACGCCTGACTCACTCACATCTCTGCACCCTACGCGGCAGTCTTGTTACCTTCCTTGCTTACAGCCGAGCCAGGGGCTGGGCGTGGGTGTGCGCGTGTGTAATCCCAGCACTCCGGAGGCCGAGGCAGCAGGATCGCTGCAAGTGCCAGGCCAGCCTGTACATTTGACATTACAAGACCCTGTCTCCAAAAACCACACCAAAAGGGCTGGGGATTTAGCTCCATGATGCCACTGCCTGCCTCACAAGTGCAAGGTCCCGAGTTCGATACCCGGTACCAAAAAAAAAAAAAAAAAAAAAAATCAAACCAAAGATAGAAGACCAAGTGGGGACACAGAGAGGCAAAGTCACTTGAAGGCTGTCACAAAGCTGCAGGAGGAAGAGCTGGGATCTGAAGGCAGACAGTGCGGCTGTGAAGTGTGCAGGCTCAAGTGCTCACGGCCACGAGCGGCCCCTGCCAGCCTCCTCCCGTACCCTGTCACCTGTGTAGTTAACCTCCCCGGGGTTACGCTATTATCATTACTGTATTTTTCTCTCCTGTTTTGAGACAGGGTCTCACTATATAGCCCAGTGATCCTCCTGCCTCAGCCTCCCGAGTGCAGGGATTGCAGGGGTGCACTGCCACACCCAGCTGCACACGCGTGTTGATCGCGGCTCTGTCCTCGTCACCCAAAGCTGGGAATGGGTGATGGGTGACTGGTCACCAGCGGCAAAGCCTCGGGCAGCCAGAGGGATGGGGCACCGGGTGTCGGCAGCAGCCTGGAGGAACCAGAGGAGCACAGTGGTGGGGCCGCCTGTGTCGCCGCCCGGAGACTCACCAGTACCCGCAGGTGCTTTGTGGAACTTAGCACGCAGCAGTTCGGCCCAGCAGATGAGGACAGAAGGACAGAAAAGTCAGGACAGAGAGCAGCTCGCATAGTGTGGGTGTAGGGACGGGAGGTTATGAGGGCCCAGGGGGTCAGCTGGGGAGAGGGACAGTTCTGGGTCCTGATAGTGATGGCCACACAAATGAAATCCTATATTAAAATCCATAAAACTCACCAGCCTATAATCCTAGCACTCAGGAGGCTGAGGCAGGAGAGTCACCACAAGTTCGAGGGCAGCCTGGACTGCATAGCAAGACTTTGTCTCAAAACCAAAACCAAAAAAACCAAAAATTCATAAAACGACATATTTCCCTTCAAAAAGTGGGTTTCACTGTCTGATTATGTTCTTAGGAGCCTTCTTTATTATAATTCTCAGTGCATAGCGTGTCCCTCACAACAACTTGAGGGTGTGTGGAGAAGCAATAGGGGTGATTTTAGATCCACGGAGTCAGTGTGGCCCCTCTCAGGGACAGAGGCCAGGACTCACATGCGGGTATCAGAAGGAACGGAGGCCAGGCACACTCCTGTAGGCCCAGCACTCTGGGAGGCTGAGGCAGGAAGACTGGCAGTTCAAGGTCAGTTGCAGCAATTTTAGTGATTCAGCAAGACCTTGCCTCAAATTTATAAACTTTTTTGGGGGGGTACCAGAGATCGAACTCAGGACCTTGTGAGGCAGGTGGGAGAACCACTGAGCTAAATAAAAATTTTGGGGGGGTACCGAGGATCGAATTCAGGTCCTTGCACTTGCAAGGCAGGCCACCGAACTGCTGAGCTACATCCCTGGCCCTAAATAAAATTTAAAAAAAAATTTTTTTTAAGGGTTGAGGATGTAGCTCAGTACTAAGACCACGGATTCACTCCCTATTACTGAGAAAAATAAATAAAATAAAGGACCACAGTATGCAGAGGCAGCAGCCTGCTGGACTTCAGGACTTGGGGCTGTAGCGCTGCCCTCCCGAGCTCATCCGGGTGGGGTGACCCCGATTGTACCGCAGCATGATGACTCATGCTTTGGCCAGAGCCAAAAATGTTCACCTCTCAGCTGGAACTGGCACAGCCTCTGGGGACTGCGGTCAGCACTCCCAGAACCAGGGGCCGCTCCTCTCCCCGCAGGGCTCCCTTGGGTCTTCCCAGGCCCGGACCCATCCCAGGCACATCTCAGCCCCTGTCTGCTTCCTTCTCAGCTGTTTCGGTCCTTGGTGATTGTCTTCTTGGTCTACTCCCTCCTTTCAATCTAAGGGAGCAGAAATCCCTTCCTCTCTTGTGTGAGATAAAGTGCTGTCTGCCACCACTGGATTTTCAGATGCCCCAGGGAGACCAGCCCCTCAGATGCATCAGTGTGCTTGGGGAGATGCCGGGTGAAATATATGCCCAGATAGGGATTGCAACATTTTTTGGAGAGGACCAAAAACAATAAGGCAGCGGGTCGATAAATCGGGGACCCTGAAAATGCTGGTGTCATGCCATCCACAGGGACTGCTTGCATCTGGATAACGTCTCAACACGGGTGTTTCGATTTCTGCAGTTTACTGCATATAAACTTCTTCCATTAAAGAAACTCTGGTGGGTGTGGCTCACACACTAGTAATCCCTGCACTCAGGAGGCTGAGGCAAGAGGATTGCAGCGAACTCTAGGCTAGCCTGGGCTACACAGAGAGGTCATATCTAAAAGAAAAAAAAAAAAAAAAAAAGTCCGCAAACCAATATTGAACTCAACTCTAGTTAATGACAGCCAGCCTGGAACATTCAGGTGAAAGTTCTGGTGTTGCAACTTAATTAAAATGCACCACAGCCGGGTGTGGGTGGCACATGCCTTTAACCCCAGCACTCAGGAGTCAGGCAGGAGGATCGCTGTGAGTTCGAGACCAGCCTAGGCTATGATGTAGTGAGTTCCAGGTCAGTCTCAACTACATAGTGAGACCCTGTCTCAAAACAAAACAAAACAAAATCACAGATCTGGAGCTGCTAAACGCATGGTGAAATCTCAGTGGTGCATTGAGGGGCGAAGCCAGGTATAACGCAGTAGTTTAAGTGTGAAAAATAATAAAGAAATAGAGAAAGAAATAAAGATTAGATAGCGGTACAGTGG